GGGATGCTGTCCACATCCAGCGGCGTGCGCCTGCTGCCCGTGGCGCCGCCGCCTTGTCCGCGCTGCCCCTTTGTGACGAGCTTCAATCTCTTCCTCCTGCCTTGATCTCCTTTACAGGCATGGTGAATGATGAAACACACACAGATCTCACTGTTGCTGCTGCTGTTGACAATCTTAGGCCTGAAATCGTGCTGCCCACCGCACACCCCCACGCACCTTCACTTGCTTCCTCAAGCTGCCGCCGCTGCGAGGATGCGCCCCGTCATCACACCCGGCAATCCCATGCCAGGTCCGCATGCCGCGGGCGAGCCAGCCCTGTGGGCCAGCCCAGGTCAGTACAGTCAGCTTGCCCTCAGCGCTCATCAGCAGTGGGTGGCGGGCAGCCCCCCAGTGCCCACGCCTTGCCGCTGGTGAACTGCTCCAGGCCACGCTGCATTGGGCGAAGAATGCCTGCCTGGCCAAATTGAGGCGCACATAGATATCTGCGATTATTTTACAGAAACGGGGGCGCTGCAACTCAACGCAGCCGTGGGTATGGACAGGAGGAGGGCGCCCTGGCTTGATGCCAGCGAGCCGAGCGGCGCCCGCCTCATGCTGTCGCGCCGAGCCCAGACCTGTGTCCGCGGCTCCCAGGCTATCTTTTGATCCTTCACTTTTTTCGACGGGCACCAGTCTGAGGTAGTCTTGGGCTCTGGCAGCGAGAGCCTTCGCACACCATGCAGGTGCGGTGTGGCCTTCGCAGCCGGTCGCGGCACACTTGCTGTTCGGTTGTGCGTGTCTGTGGAGTGCGATGCTGCGGCCGCCGAGCCCCCACCGCTCGGCGCCGCTCGATCGCCCCCCGGGCGCGTCTCTCTGGCTGCCTCTCCAGCGCTGAGACGCACGGGCAGGCTGTGCAGAGGAGTGCAGGGCAGTCCGCGCCTGCCGCCGCTCCGTCCGCCCTGCCCGCCCGCCGCCGCCAGGCGCTCACCGCCCCTGCCGCCGCCCACCCCTTCCTGCCCTCCCCGCCCTTGCTGCAGTCCACGGTGGTGGTCAAGGCGGGCAAGGGCAGCAACCCCAAGACCGCGCTGTACGTGGGCGGGCTGGAGAGCACGGTGAACGAGGCCGCCCTCCACTCCGCCTTCATCCCCTTTGGCGAGATCAAGGAGGTGTCGTTGCCGCTCGACCATGCCACGGGCACCCATCGCGGCTTTGGCTTTGTGGAGTTTGAGGCGGCGGAGGATGCGGCAGACGCGATGGACAACATGCACAACTCGGGTGCGTGCTGTGTGGTGGGTGGGTGGGTGGGCTGGCTGGCTGGCAGACGTGGACAGCAGCAGCCGCAGGCGCACCCGTGGCGGCCGAGAGAACGTGGGATGCTGCCACACACCGCCGCCGGCCCTCCTGCCTGCCCGTTCACCAGCCCAGCCGGCCGCAGCTGCCCCCGCCTGCCCCTGCAGAGCTGTACGGCCGAGTGCTGCGAGTCAACTATGCACAGCCCAATAAGATCAAGGGCGGGGACAAGGGCTGGGCGTCGCAGGCGGTGTGGGCAGACGCAGACGACTGGTGAGCGGCGCGGCAGCCTGCCGCGGCTGGCTGCCTGCAGTGCGCGCGGCGCTCGAGCCGCTGGCGGGGGAGGGCAGGCTGGGGGGCTGCATGGCGCGCGCCCGCCTGCCTCTCCCCTGCCTCTCCTGCCGCCTGCTGCCACCTCTTTTGCAGCGGTCTGTGTTTGCGCATCCGAACATTGTTCGAAGCTCTTGCCTGCCCCGGCTGTACCGCACCTGTACCGCCACCTGTACCGCCACCTGTACCACCCCCACCCCGCCGCGCCTGCAGGTACGAGAAGCACATTGCGGAGGAGGAGCTGGATAAGCTGACGGAGCAGCAGGAGAAGGCGAGCAAGAAGACGGCGCTGGATGGAGAGGTGGCGGACGCGGCGGCGGCGCTGGCGGCGGCGGACGCGGCGCCCGCGGAGGGGTAGCCTCTGGCGCGGTCGCGCCTGGGGCCGACCCATGCTGGCGCTCGTGGCGCTTGGATGCGCCACTAGATGCCATGAGTGCGGCGCGCCAACACCACTATTTGCCTGACTTCTGACCTGCTGACTGCCTGCTCTCTGCCTCGCTTTGTTCCTTCTGCTCCTCGCTCTCTGCTGCCGCTCCTCGCCTGTTTTTTTGTTTGCTGTTGCTCTTGGCAAGTAAGGACTGCAAACCATGAGCAAACCCGTTGGCAGCGGAAGTGACAGGCCTGCTGTATGCCCGCTCAATCCGCCGCCTGCATGCAATCTTCGCTCCAATCTTTGCGGTGCAGGCTGCCCGTTGTTGTTGCTCCAATTGCTGAGCTTCAACATGGCCCTGCAGACTGCTGACGCCCACCTGAGCCAGCAGGCGCTGCGGGAACTGGGGCCGCCAGACCTGCGGCTGCGCCTGGCCTCCACATGCTTTTCCTGTGCACAAGGCGCTGGTAGGCGCCAAATCCAGCGTGCTGGCCACCCTCTCTGCGGATATTGATGCGCAGGAAGAGGTGTGCCTCTGGGACGGCACCGCCGGCGGTGGCGCCGGCGGCGGGATTGGCGGCGCCGCGGGCCAGCTGCCAGAGGCGGTCAGGAGCGTGGAGCATTTTGGGCTGTTCCTGAAAGAGATGTACGGCTGCGGCACCGGCGTTGCCAGTGTGGGCCAGGCCCTGGCTTTGATTGACCAAGCAGACTACTGGGCCTGCCCTTCCGTGCTGCTGGCAGCAGATGCCTTCCTGGCCGTGACGACGCTGAATGGCAAGGAGGGTATCTGTTGTTTGAATGAGGCAGGAGACCCCCGCGGCCGCACCCTGGCTACACTCTTTCAGCGGGCATCTAAGCACAAGCTGCGCAGGTGCTCACCAACCGGGAGCACAGCTGCTGGCCTGCCCGCAACTGTTTCCTTTAACTTTCTACTGGCTGACTTTCTGCAGGCTCATGGCCGCCTGCCTGCCCCGCCTCTGGCAGTTACGTGGCCAGACTCAGAGGGATGATGGTCTGTCGAGCCTGGATGCCACAGTGCTGCAAGTGCTGCTGGCAGATACACTCGACAGCAGTATGGAGGATTTCAGCTGCCGAAGCAGCACAGACCGGCATTGCCGAACGCGCCTCATCATCCTTTCGGGCTGCCGTGATTACGGTTGCCCCTGCCCCGACTGCCATGTGCACCAGGAGCTGCATTGGCGTCGGGCAGCAGTGCGGCTGGAGCTGGCGCTGCTGAAGCGCGGGTGGGGCTGCAAGTGAGCCAGCAAATGTTTGGCGGTGCAAGCCTGGGGGGCGATGCCCCATCTGTCGACTGGTCCAATGGGATTGAGCGGAGTATTGCGTCGCATCAAAATGCAGCTGTGCGCTGCTTGGGCGCATCTGAGCTGCCAGCAACCGTGGCAGTGGGAACCGCGCCGATGCCCTTCCATCTCTCATTTCCCTTCCACCTCTTGCGTGTTTCTTATAGCGCGACGCTGCACAATGCACAATGAACAGAGCCTGCGCAGCTGTAAACAGCTGCAACCTGACCGCCGCCCGCGGTACTTCGGTCCAGTACGCTGAGCTGTCCAGGAGGCCAAACCCTACCTCAGGAATCAGCGCCTCCTGTGCCAACAGGCTGTCTGTAGCCTTTTGCTTAACCACCACGCAACCTAGAGCCACCCAACCCGCCTCACCAACAATGGCTCGTGTGCGCCGCCTGCTGAGCCTGGCGTCGCTGGCGCTCGTGCTCTGCCACGCCCCCACGCCCGCCGCCGCCCGGCGCGGCCTGCGCCAGCAGACGAAGGGCGGCGCCGGCGGCCCCGCGTGCGGCGGCTCGCGGCAGGCTTGCTGCTGTGACATTCGTGATGTGGAGAACGAAGGCGACCGGTCCTGCTGCCCCTCCAAGGACCTCTTCTGCCACGTGTTAACCCAGCAGCCGCCAGCGACCTCAGCGCACCCTCCCTCACCCTCTGCCTGCCGCTGCCCAAGGTCGGCCGCCGCCGACGCACCCTCCCAACCGTGCCTTGCCCATGCCGCCAGCCACCAACAGCAGGGATGCCGCCTGCGGTGGTGAGAGCGCTGTACATCCTTCCATGCCATGTGGTGCGGAGTGTGCGCTGAGCACTGCTCGACTGCCGCTGCAGGACTGAGGCACGACGGGCGCGCCCTGCTGCCCCCTGTTTTCAGCAGAGAACCCCTGCCAGGGGGCCAGCGACCAGTGCGAGGGCTCGGCCTTCGACTCCAACTACGAGGCAAGGGCAGGGGAGGCCGGGCAGGCGCCTGCTTGGTGCCGCTTTCAAGCGTCGTCAGCTGGGTGCCCGCTCGGCTTCCAGTCCCAGCCTCCCACCTGCCTGCCTGCCTGCCTGCCCGGTGTTTGGAAGCACCTTAATTCCCCTCTGGCCCTGATGCACTTGGACCCTGCAGGACTATCAGGCCTACCTGTCTGGGGCCTCCACTCCCAACGCCACCTCTCTGGGAACCTGTTCCAGGCTCGACACCGAGCAGTGCGGCAAGCCAGGTGTGGCCCGCCGCTGCTGCTTCAACAGCACCTCGTGGGCTCCAGCAGCTGCGGCCTGCCAGCGCTGCCTGCTCTGCGCCTTTGACCGCTGTCGTGGCGCCCTCCTGGCGCTGGCGCTGCAGGCGGGCCGTGCAGCGAGGTCAGCAGGTGCCCCACCAGCTCGACCTGCGTCTCTGGGTGAGGGTGTGGACAGGCAGGCTGACGCCCGGCCAGCTCGCTCGCACGTGCCAGGCCTGCACCATGCACCAAGATCAGTGCAGCCGCATATTTGCTAGGCTCAGAGTCGAGCCTTCTGCTGTGCTGGACTGCTGCGTGGCGTGATGTGCGAGCCTGCTCGTCTCCTAGCCTGCGCGCCTGCCCGCCTGTCCGCCCGCCTGCCTGCCTGCAGCTTCTACTGCGCCGGCTCTCTGGACCCGGGAGAGGAGTACCCCAGCTGCCGGCCCGTGCCGCCCGCCTGCGGCCAGCTGGGATCCAAGTGCTGCCCGCCAGAGGAGCGGCCCGCCGACCTGCCCGGCGCCAACTCCGGCACGGGCGCCTTCTGCTACGCCGCTGACGTGGTGTGCTCTGCCCCCATGGGCTCCGTCGAGGCCTCAGGTGGGGCGGGGTGCATGGGGGCATGCTGGGCAGCAGGGGCCAGCAGTCCCGCACAGCAGGAGGCTCAGCTCTGAAGCCCGGCAAGTATTGCGGCTGCGCCCGTCGGATGTCCAGCGGCTGCCCAGCGCTCTTACCCGGCCTGCCGGGGTGCCGCCGCTTGCTGCAGAGTGCATCAAGCTGCCGAGCGCAGACACCTGCGGCCAGCCGGGGAAGGAGTGCTGCCCCAGGTGCTCCCCCGCAGCGCTGGTGTGACGTTCACCCCACGGTTGCGTCGGCAGTTGCTCCGGCCAGGCCCTCGGCACAACAGGCGGCTGTGGCGAGCTGGTGTGTACCGCTCTCTGCTATATGTTGCCCTCTGCTCTGTCCTGTCGTGCAGCTTCTACCGGACGTCAGTCGACAAGGAGGTGCCGCCCATCTGCGCCAAAGGCGCCTACTGTGCGGACGGCAACAAGTGTGTGCAGGCGAGTGGGCCCCCCAGCGGCAGCACTCGCCCGCTAGCACGCCTCGCGCTGCGGCTGGGAGGCGTTGCGGTTGGCCGCCCTGCCCGCCAATGCGCTGCCCCTGCCTGGCCTTCCTGTGGTTGCTTGACCTGCCTGGCGAGCCTGCCCGCAGAACCCCTCTGACTGCGGCATGCTGGGCAAGCCCTGCTGCATCGTCTCTTCGCCATCGTGTGAGCCTCGCGCGCCCGCTGCCGCCGCGGCTGCTGCCGCTGCCGCTGCTGTGCACGTTGTGTTGCGGACTGCCGCCGCCAGGGAGCCTACACAACCATCACTCACCCTGCACCCCCACTGCCATCCCTGTGACGTGGCGCAGCCACCAGCTTGTGGTGCCGTGAGCCGGGCGCCAAGTGCACCGGCCAGGACAGCTGGCCGGGGAAGTGCGCCGCCTGCTCCAAGCCTCCGACCCAGGATGAGGAGGTGGGTGGGGGCGTTTCATGTTGGAAGCTTGCCTGCCCGCCTGCCTGCCAGCCAGCCCGCCTGCCTGCCTCGTCCTATCCCCTTGTGCTGCTGTTTGCCTGTACAGCTCGGGTGCTTGTGAGCTGGCAGCACCGTGCGCCACCTGCCTGCCTGCAGTGGGAGTGCACCCACCCCTTGGCCAAGGATTTTTCCGAGCCGTCCGTCTAGCCGGCGTGGTGGAGGGGAGGCCGGCACCACAACCTGGCACAGTTCTTGGATCCGTATAGTTTATTACATTACATGTGTGCTGGGTTACATACGCAACAAGGCGCAGCCGCCATTATAAAAACAATAAATTAGAAAGCACCAGCCGCAGCTGCGATTGTAAAGGCGGCGAGGCCCCTCGGCGCAGGCCGGTGGCGGTGGCTCAGTTGCCAGCCAGCACCTGGCTCAGGCAGGGGACCTGCTCGGGCTTGCACTGCTGCAGCTGGAGCAGCACGCCGAGCGACAGGCCCGCCCGGCTCATGGCCGGCAGCACGGTGGGCAGGCAGGCGGAGATCAGCGGCGTGACGGTGTCCCTTGTCACGGTGCTGGCATCCAGAGTGACGTTGGCGGTCGCGATGACTGGGGCAAAGGCGTCCAGCAGCGCGCAGGTGCACTTTTGGCACAGGTCGGGGCCCGCCTGGCAGCAGGCACGGGCGCAGCGGTGGGAGGGTAACCGCGTGGGGTGGCGGTGGCGGCAATGCTCATGGCGGCCTGGCGCTGCTGGTGGCAGGCGACGGCAGGCCGCAGCCTCATGGCGGCGACGGTGCTCACCTTGCAGACCGCGGCCGCTGGCTTGAAAGAAAGCGAATTGGCGGTGGCGGCGCTGATGGGGCAGGCCTGCTGCTGGGCCTGCACGCAGGCACCGGCCATTGCCAGCGCCAGGAGGGCAACGGCGACGGTGCGGCGGGGAGCCATGATCGGTGTGTTCGCGCGCGGTGAGCAGTGGGGTGCTGCAGGCAAGGAGGCAAATGTCGGTGAGCAATGGGGAGCAGCAGGCCTGGCGATGCTGCCAGGAGGAGCCGGTAGAGGTGGAGCAGCGGGCGCCGTGCCCACCTCGAGGCGGGAGGCGGCGCGGTTCGGGTGGCACTGCAATGGCAGATTAGAGCAGCAGGCAGGCGTTTGAGCTATACACAACATTGCGCCTGCGTAATGCGATACTGCTCTGGCAGAGCAGTGCAGCAGGCACCCCTGGCTCGAGTGATCGCACCTCGCTCGCAACCGAGGCGCGATCGCAAGCTCCAGAATGAGTGAGCAGAAGCGGGGCACGGTGATGAAGAGCCTCAACGCGTTTGGGGATAGGTCCGAGAGAGTTTTGTGGCGCGCCCTGTCAGCACGCCGCGCACGGCAGGACCTCAGAGATCCGCTCCACTTCCCTTCGGAGCAGGCCTCCTCTGACGTATTCGTGCATCTGACACCCAGGCAGCTGCTTGTGCGCGCAGCCGCTGCGCCAGGTAGTCGCGGGGCCCTCTCACGAGCCCTGCAGCACGCCTCTGCACCTGCCTTCGACCTCTGGCAACGTGCCAAAGTGGCCCCGCGCAACTACATGGCCTCCCCGCGGCCCCAGAGCTCCCGCGGGGCCGCCCCGCCGGCTGCCGCTGCCGAGGCGGGCTCAGGCTCAGCCACCACCAGCCTGGACGCAGAGCTGCGCTCTTTTTTGGAGGTGCTGCCTCGCCTTGTGGGCCGCAGTATTCCGGATACCAGTGTGGCACAGGCAATGTACACTTTCCAAGACCGTGTGTGCGAAGATCTGCAGGCGGCTGCCGCAGCGGTATCCCCGTGAGTGAGAGCTTGGAAGGAATGCTGATGGTGCTGATGCTGCTGGTCGTAGCCCTACTTTGAATTCAACCAGCTGCTCTCACACGGCCTGCTAGCTGCCGCAGGGAAACTTTGGGCCTTGCGGGAGAGCGGCTGGCAGCGGCGGGGGCGGCGCTGCTAGCCGCACGGCAGAGCGGCAGCCGTGGCGCCGGCGCCAGCCAGCCATCGCCTGAAGCGTGGTATCTGCAGTTGTATACTGCCTGTACAATCGGCAAAGTCTGCGGGATGCTGGCCGAAGCCAGCCTGGATATGCAGCCTTCAGCGCGCCTGGCTCACTGTCTGTCAATTGAGCAGCTGCTGCTTGGACCAGGGCGCATTCACGTGGCAGAGCATGCAGCGGACAGTCTGCCACAATATGCCCACTCAACCGCGGCGAGCATGCTGGTGACGCAGCTGGTCGCAATGGACATGCTGCTCACTAATGCAGACCAGCAGATAGCCAGCAGCTCCGGCCGCTTTGGGGCCCAGTTTGCACCTCCAGAGCTCTATGCTGACTGGCTGGAGGTGGCTGTTGGAGCGGCCAAGACCCTGCACCAGTCTCTGCAGCATGGGGGCGGGCGAGGTGCGGCTGAAGGAGCAGACACATTGCTGGCACCCTGCTTGGCCCATCAATTGACCAGCGGCCTTGCTGTTCGCTATGCAGACGAGAGGAATGCCTTGCCTGGGACCATGGTGGCACTTTCCTTAATCGTCGACCGCGTTTTGTGCAGTCCACGCTATGGGCAGCTCAGAGCCGCCATCAGGCAAAGGTGCAGTGTCCCTCACGGCATAGTTGGGCTGCTTGTGCCAACCCTCCACAAAATCGCAGTGCTTCTGCGGCTGCCGTCTGATCGGCGCCCGGCAGCGTATGGCGCTCTATGCCACTGGCGCAGCATTGGCGCCATGGCCAACATCTTGTCAGCCGCCGAGATGGCAGATGCGCTGGCGGCCCACATGCAGCCAGCACCAGCCGACAGCAGCAGGATGCTCAGCACCAGTGGGCAGCGCCTGCTTCAGACAGCGTGCCTCCTGGTGCGGCATGCACCATTGGAGCCAGCAAGTGCTGATGCATGGCTGCTCACCAACCTGATGCAGCTGCTGTCATGCGTGTGCAGCGCTGCTGGCCCCTCCCGCGGCGATCGGCAGCAGCACCAGCACCAGGGGGCGCAGCTCACAGAAATGGCACAGCAGCTGCTGCAAGCTGTGCCACGCCTGCGGCAGATGCTGCAGCTTGTGGCCGCGGATGAGGAGCAGCGTTTTGGGGGCGGCAAGGCTGTTGCCGTGTTCAGAGGATGGGAGCGGGCAATCGCTCTGTTGAGGCAGCTGATGCCTTTCTCGATTATTGTGCCAGCTTCTGCCAGCTCATCTGTCATCCGCACCTGGTCAGGCCTGCCAGCATGGTGCGGAGCAGGCACTGCAGCTTTCCAGTCCCTTCCTCTTGTCGCGGCGATAGCTCAGCAGCAGCGGGATGATGCAGACCTGCAGGGCGTGCTGCTTGGCCTTGCCGGCGAGCTGTTTGACTTCACAGACGCCTTTGGAGCAGCACCGTCACACTTTGGCGAACCCAGCCTGAGCTCTGGTGCCCTCCAGCTGACAGACATCGTGGTAGGCGAGGCTGAGGTGGCCCTGTGGGGTCTGCACACGGCAGCCTGCCGCTGTGTGCACTGGCAGGCAGCAGGGGACCATCCGCTGGCGCCCATGATGCAGCGGTGGGAGCCAGCCCTGCAGTCCGCCAGCATTGCCCTGCTTGAGGCTTGGCAGCTGGGTCAGCGCTTGCAGCCAGGCACCACAGAGCCAGCCAGGTGCGCAGCTGCATGCCCCTGCCTCTTGCAGCCTCGTTGCTCCGAACTCTACCTTGCAAGCTTGGGCCTGTGGCTGCAGGCACCTGGCTGCCATGGCTGCGGCCCACATGCAGATGCTGCAGGCTGTCATTTGCGATGCGGGACGTACAGATGAGCTGCTTGCCTCAGCTGCACAGCAGCTCAGCATCCACAGCGCCACAGTCGCCAGCAGCATCGGTGCGTGCGCCATCCTGTGCCCAGCAGCATTCAGCCCTCCCTTGAGGGAGCTGCTGAGCGAGATGGTGCGCGTCCCACGAGGATTGGTGAGGATGGGTGGATGCAGGTCGCCGAACCTCTTGGAAAACTGCTGAAGATGCCATGGCTTTGAATCACGCACCGTGTGCCCTTGGCTGCAGGTACCGTCTGCATATCGGCGCATGTACTGTGCCACAATGCTCATTTTTTGGCCATGCATCGCTCAGGTGGCAGCAGCGTCGCCGCGCCTGGCTTCGTGCTTCATTGCTGATACTGTGATGGAGGAAGTTCTGGAGCAGCTGATCCCAGCTACACTTGGCGGCTTGGACATGTTGGCGGTACGCTTGTCCGCCCGCAGCGAGCCTTGCCACTGCTGTACCAATTGTCAGGCTGCAGAGTGGGGACCAACAGAGGCCTTTGCTTTTTCCGTGGCTGCAGGTGCAGGGCTTCCAAGGTGTAGAGGTGCTCAACTTGCTGCTGTCTGCCTTCAGCGCCCTCTGCAGCGCAGCCGAAGGCATGGTGGCATCAGTGGACAGCGGGTCCGCCAGCCGCGCTGCCGCGCTGCAGCCTGAGGTGGCCTCACTGCAGTCCGCACTGGGCCGGTTCAACAGCCAGCTTTCCAATTCAACGACACCAGGGGCAGCAGCATTGGCGACTGTCAACGTATTGCGGTCCGATGCTCTGCCGCCCGCCCGCCAGCTGGCAGCCACCCTGCTGGAGCACTGGGCACGGCCTGAGCAGCAGCAGCAGGATGCGCTGCAGCTGGCGCAGGCGGCTGCTGCCCGCAGCTGCGCCTACCTGCGCTGCTCCAATGTGGGCGGCGAGGGCGGGCCTGCCGCGGGCCAGGGCGGCGGCAGCCAGCGCTGCGGCGCCTGCAGGGCAGTCTGGTACTGCAGCACCGCCTGCTCTCACGCCGATTGGCGGCAGGGCGGCCACCGGCGCGTGTGCAAGGCGCTGGGGGCGGCGCGGCAGCAGCAGAAGCAGCAGGCTGCGGCGGCGCAGCGGTCGGCAGGCTGAGCGCTGCCTGCCTGCCTACCAGCAACACCAGGGCAAGTAGAGGCCCCTCATTTTCACTGCTGTGCATGCTCTTTCACCCCTTTCCTCGTTGTTTTCATCCTCCGTTCATGCCCACTTCCTGTACAGACGCCAGGGTAATGCAACCGCTCCCGCCTGCTCTCCCGCCCTGATGAGGAGTGTGGGCCCCTGCATTGCTGCTGCTTCACCCCCCCGGGCGGCATGCAGCCTTACAGATGTGGACAGATGTCCCCGAGGGGAGGGGAGTCCCTTGCGCTGTGGCGCTGCGGTACAGGCGAGGCCAGCAGGACGAGCCCTCTCGCACATCCCCAGCCACCAATTCGGGTTGCAGCAGCCTCGCACCCGCCCAGCTGACACAGCAAGGCCGTGTAAGGTCAGCCTAGCCTGTCGCCGGTCGAGGCGTCCATGGGGCGCCAGCTTGGCGCCGACGAGGCCGCCTCCTCCCACCACCCACCCCCACTCTTGCGGGCGCTCTCGGAGCAGCTGGCTCATTACAAATTGATGCTGCGGCCGGACATCACTGCGTGTGAACTGGAGCAGCAGCAGCGCACAGGAGAGGCAGCATGGGCCGCCGCATGCGGCACAGGCGATGGGCGCCGCCGAGCGCCGCCGCCGCAAACCGCCCCATCTCACGGCCATCTGAAGTGCCGCTGTGGTGTAGGTCACAGGGCTGCGCGCCATGATCAGCTAGCGTCAGCGCGATATGCGGCTGCAACACAGCAGTGACATTGGCAAGGAATGGTGGCAGGCAGCGCATACACACATAGCACCTGCGCGCGCCTCTGCTGTCCTGCCTTCCACACCGCTCTGGACGCCATGCGTGCATGGGGCGGTCACAGGGGCGCCAGAGCCCGCCCCAACAAGCAGGGCGCCTCGCCCCTAAGTGTATGTGGAGCACCGCAGCCGCCAGCAGCAATGAAGCTGAGGAAGAACAGCACTGCACCGAGAAATGAAATGCAAGCCCGCACGGGAACCAGCTCAGGGGACCGACCAGCTAGGAGGGAGGCAGAGAGCAGTAGGCAGTTTTCTGTGTTTGGAGCGGCCAGCGCAGCGCCCGCCCACCCCCGGAGGAGCAGGAAATTGCCGGCGGAAGCGGCGCTGGGGGCGGGTGGCTGAGCGGGTGGGCGGGGCTGGCTGGCCGGGGGATGAATTTTGAAGGGAAGAAAGCAGAGGAAGATGTGCGGCCAGCGCAGAAGGGAGGCGGGCCGTGAATCGGGAAGGTTGGAAGGTAGGCTGTCGCTGCTGGCATCCCCGCAAATGAGGCGGCAGAGCGGGAGGGCGGTGTGAATGGGCTGGGCCGCCAGCCGGGGCGAGGGCAGAGGCAGGGCACAGGCAGAGGCCACCCAGAGGGGCGGGTTCGCGCGGCGGCGGGCAGCCCACAAAATGGGGTATGTGCTGAAGCATACGGGGTTCTGGAAGGGGTTGTCGTTTCGCTGATGTGCGCCGCCCTCTGCGAGGGCAGCGTTGGAGAAAAGGCTGGCTGGCCGGCGGCAGGCCAGGAACCATGCCAAAGGCAGCTTCTGCCACTGCTGCTGGTGCTGCAGGGCTGCTCCTGGGAGCTCACGCCTGCACAGAGGGAGCCGCCACGCGCGCGTCCAGCTGCAGTCCAGCTGTCTAGATGCCTTTCCTGACGGGCGTGAGCGCGGCGCCGTTCCTGCACGCCGCCATCACCCGCGCAAACTCCTCCACACGGAACGGCTTCCTGCGCCAGCCGGCGGCGGGGAGCAGGCAAGAAACGGCGGTCAGCTGCCGCAGAGTGCGCCACTTGCAGCACAGGACGAGCCGCAACCCCAACCCCAACCGCCGGACGCCCACCCAGCGGCCTCCCTCCTATACTCGGCCAGTTCCCTCCCACGCTTCGCCGCAAGGCAACACCAAGCCGCCAGCAGCACTGCACGCCCCCGTTCGGCCCCCAGCTGCCAGCGGCGGCGCGCGCCAGCCGACGGGCGCCCGCCCGCCACTCACGCCAGCCAGCCGTCGAATCCATTGGCGATGCAGTTGTCCCGCGTGTCCTCAAACGCGTCTGCAGTAACCGCGATGATCTTGGTCTTGTAGCGCGACCAGGTGCGGCGGATGTCGCGCACCGCCTCCATGCCACCCTGCGGGGGGTGGTGGAAGAGAGGGAGTGTGTGAGAGTGTGTGTGTGAGGGAGAGAGGGGGCGATCAGGGGCACGGCAGGGCAGCGGTTGAAGGGCAGCGAGCAGGGGCTGGGATGGTGCCGGGGGCAGGGGCAGGGGCAAGGCATGATGACACAGTGACGCAGCATCCGCCCTGCCAGGCCCAACCCCACACCCATACTCCGCATCTACACCCTCCCACCCACACCCAATCCCCACCTTCTTGGGCATGTGCAGGTCCATGAGTATGACGTCAAAGGCGTCGGGGCCGCCCGCCGCGTGCAGCGCCTCCACCGCCGCCTCCCCGTCCTCCGCAGTCACAACGTTGGTGCAGCCCATGCGCTTGAGGATGCCCAGGGCCACCTGCGGCCGGCGCAGGAAGGGAAAGAGGCAGGGGGACGTGGGCATGGCGTATTTGGGGGGAGACGTGTGTGTGTGTGTGTGTGTGTGTGTGTGTGTGGGGGGGTCTGTGAGGTGAGGCACGGCACGACGGGACGAAGCGCGAGCGTGCCGCCCTGCCTGGCTGCCCTGCTGCCCTGGGTGCTCCCCTGCTGCCGCAGAGCCTCCCTCCCTCCCTCCCACCCTCCCCACACGCGCACCTTCATGTTGATGGCGTTGTCTTCTGCCAGCAGCAGGCGCAGCGGGGTGGCGGCCGCCGCGGCCGCCGCCTCCAGGTGGCTGGAGCTGGGAGTGGCCCGCACCAGGGTGGCCCCCGCGCACCGCAGGTTGCTGCTGCTGCTGGCGCGGCTACCCAGAGAGGAGGCGTCGTCCCCGCTGGCTGGGTCCGACCCCACCAGCCCCAGCAGCACCGCAGGCGCCAGCGGGTCGGCGGCCGCGGCGGCGGCGGCCGGCGCGACGGCGCCGCCAGGCGGCGACGCCGGCGCCCCCGCCGGCAGCTGCTGTAGCGGCTCGGCGGCGCCGGGGGCCGGCGCCGGCCCCTCGCCGCCTTTCTCTGCCTCCAGCTGCATGCTGAGCACCTCCTCCAGAGCCAGGCGCAGCCTGCCCTGGCGCACGGGGCGCGTCACCACCACATATCCCAGCTGGCGCTGACCTGGTGCCTGCGCCTGCGCCAGCCGCTCCGCCAGCATGCGCGGCGGCTGTGCGGCCAGCCCGCCGCCAAGCACGTCTGCGGAGGAGTGGGGAAGAGATGGGTGTGGGTGGCAGCGAGTCAGGCAAGGGTGCAGGCAGCGGTGGCCGGGTGTTGACGCCCACTCCCAGCCAGGGAGCGCGCCGTGCAAGGCCTGTACCCAGCCAGGCAGCCAGGCAGGGCTGGCCAGCTGCCACATCCGCGCCGCGCACCCGGCAGGCCGCCCCCCTGGCTGAGCGCCGTGTAGGCCGGGGGCGGCAGCGAGGGCGGGCCCGGCTGGGCCGACACGCTGCCGCCGCCGTGGCCGCCCACGCTGCTGCCGTCGCCCGCCACACTGCTGTCCGCCCGATCCTCAGGCTCGTTCTGGCCTGGCCAGCCCGTGAACACCACCCTCTGCGGGAGGAGGCAGGCACGGGCAGGGCAGGGCTTAGCGGTGGGGCAGCGGTGGGGCAGCGTGATGAGGTGGCGGGGCGGGCACGGCGGGCACGCAGCAGGCGCGCTTCAGCCGGGTGGCGTGCGGCAGCAGGGCGCAGCCGCCAGCCTGCTCCTGGGCGGCCCCATCCCGCCCGCCACAAACACACAACCACCACCCAGCCGCCAGCATGCATCAGCCACTGCCATGCTGAACGCCGCCGCAATGCGTGTAGGCTGTATGAGCCTCGCCGGCTCTCCAAACCCGCTCTGTGAGTCGAGTCGGGTCAAGCCCAGCCCAGCCACCCCCTGCATGCTGCGCCTGCCGCGCACCTGTGCCTCGCTGGCGTGCGCGTGCGTCATGAGCGCGGCCAGCAGGTTCTGAAGCATCATGTCCATGATGACAACATCATAGGGGCCGGGCGCCTGCGGGTGCGGAGGTGGGTAGGAGGCAGCGCGGTGGGCAGGCAGGAGGGCGCACAGCAGGGAAACAAGTGGCGGGACGCAGCGGCAGCGAGGGAGCGGCAGCGGCCAGCAGGGTGAGGGACCCTGCCGCCTCCACCGGCGCTGCTGCCAGCTCCCCTCCGCAGCCTCTCCTTGCAGCGCCAGCCCCCGAGCACCCGCCACCCCACCCTACCTGGAACTCGTCATCTAGTGGCTGCCCAGCGTGGTCCAGCTGCAGGTGGCGGCGCCGCGCCGAGCGCCCGCCGCGCCGCCGCGCCGCCTCCGCCGCCGCCGCCGCCTCGCCGGCGCCGCCGCCCGGCGGGCTGTGCGGGCCGGCGGCGGCGCGCGGCGAGCCGTCCGCCGCCGCCATCCGCAGCCGCGCCACGCCTTGCGCCTCGCTGCCCACGGCGCACACGGCGCAGCCCCAGCGGCGCAGCGCCAGCGCCAGCACGTGCCGCACGATGGGGCAGGGCTCTACCAGCAGCACCCTCCTGCCAGACAGGTCATACAGGGTGCCAGACGCGGCGGGTCTCAGCGCCGCCATGGGCGTGCCGCCGCCGCTGCTCACGTCGGTGCTGGTGCGCGCGCTGCCGCCGCCGCTGCTGCCCACGCCGCACTCCAGGCTGCAGCGCCCGCTGCTGCAGGGCGTGCCCGTGGCGCCGACGCCGGCGCCCCGGCCAGCTGGCGCCAGCTCAGCGGGCAGCCGCACGCGGATGCACCACCGGAACAGCGACCCCTCCCCAGGCCCCGCAGACTCAGCCCACATGCGCCCCCCCATGGCCTCGCTGAGCCGCTGGCAGATAGCGAGGCCCAGGCCGCTGCCGCCGTGGCGCCGCGTGGGCGAGGAGTCCACCTGCAGGAGGGCACCCCAGGTGTGCCGCCAGGCAGGCGCAGCAGGCGGTCGGCGCGAGGCAGGGCGCTGTAAGGCGTGCGGGCATGCAGGAGGGTGCAGCACGGCCGGCAGGAGCGAGCTCCGGTGCAGCACAGCTGGCTGGCTGTCCCACGCGAGTAGGCGCAGCCCCAGCCCCAGCCCGCACCTGGGAGAAGGATTGGAACAGGCGGCCGATGTTCTCCTGGCCGATGCCGATCCCCGTGTCCCTCACGCCAAACTGGAGCAGCACGGTGCGCGGCGGCGGCGCGCCGCCGCCCTCGCCCTCAACCGCCGCCTGCTGCTGCTGGGCCTGCTGCGGTGCCTGCTGCTGCTGCGCCTGCTGCTGGGCATCCTGCGGCGCCTGCTGCGGCTGCGCCTGCTGCTGCGGCTGCTGCTGGGGCGGCGCCTGCGGCTGCTGCGCCTGCTGCCCGGCTGCCGTGGGCGCGGGCGCGGGCGACGCCGGGCAGCTGCCCTCCTCCTCCTCGGCCCATACCTCCAGCAGCACCTCCCCCCACTCTGTGAACTTGACACTGTTGCTGAGGATGTTGAGCAAGATCTGCTGCAGGCGCTGCGCGTCGCCTACCACCACCGCGGGGACTGCAGGGGAGGGCAGGAGGGCGGCGCCTGCTGTCATGCAACATTTTTCATCGTAGCCAGCTTTAGCGTAGCCAGCTTCAGCGTAGCAGGCTGCTCTCCTCCTCAAAACCCACCACACACACACCACATGACATCACACACCCACCCACGCATACACACAGCGTGCCAGCCGCCCCCCGCCTCACCCGAGGGGGCGATGTGGTAGGCGACATGCAGCCGCTTCTGAGCGGCGTGCAGCCCCGCAATCTCCACAGCCGCCTCTATCACCGTCTGCAGCCGGTACTCGGCGCAGCTCAGCACCTGGAAAGGGGGCAGCGCAGGCGGGGCAGGACACGTGCGTGTGGGCGTGGGAGCGCGTGCGGTCGCGTCGGTGGGGGAGGGCTGGCGCGGGTGCGGGCGACGGCTGGGGGCAAGCGGCGGGCAGGGGTGCCGGGCCACGCCTGTGTGTGTGGTGGGGGCGCACTTGCGAGACCTCCGGAGGCCGGCTGGCAGGCGGCTCCCAGGGAAAACCACCACCACAAAACACCACCACCACAAAACACCACCACCACCACCACCACAACAACAACAACAGACAACAGCACCAACCAACAAACTAAAACAGCACCAGACAACAAGAGGGTCCCCCCAGCAAGGCAGGCCCACCATCTTGTTGGCCTCGATCCTGGAAAAGTCCAGGATGTCGTTGATGAGCGTCAGCAGCGTCTCGCCGCTGCACCGGATCGTGTTGACCAGGTCCCACTGCGGGGTGGTTAAGTGGGGTGGGTGGGGGCGGGCGGGCAGGGCGCCGGCGGGTGAGGCGTGGGAGGGCCGTGCCAACCGGAGGGGGCGAGGCAGCCAGAGGAGCACACCCACACACCTCCCACAGATACACGCGCACCCTCTGCCCCTCCCCCTCTCCCACAAACACCCCGCCCCCCCAGCCCACCACTCTTACGCCCACACCCACGACAACGCAGCCACACCACCGCCGCACCTGCGCCGGGCTGAGCGGCGTGTCTGCCAGCAGCTGCCCCACTGCGATCATGCCGTTGAGCGGGGTGCGGATCTCGTGGGACATGCGGGCCAGGAACTGGGAGGAAAGAACGAGGAAGAAAGAACGCAGGAAGAAAGGAAGAAGGCAGGTGGCGAGTGAGGCTGGGAGATGGGGAAAAGCTCGGGCGGCGCGTCCGGCTGCCGGGCGGCTGAGCAGCGGCCCCGCAGTGCCGCACCCCGCCGGTCCCGATGCAGCCCACCCCTGCGCCACCCTGCCGCCCCTTGGCCCGTCTGCGCACCCTCTTCCCTTCTGCACACCCTCCCCGCCGACCAACCGACCTGCGACTTGGCTTCGGTGGCCGCCGCCGCCTGGAGCGCCTCGTGCTTGGCCGCCAGCTCAGCGCGCCGGTGCTGCACCAGCTCCGTGATGTCGCTCTGCACACAGCAGGGAGTCAGGGAGTCAGGGAGGGAGGGAGGGAGGCAGGCAGGCAGGCAGGGAGGGAGGGAGGGAGGGAGGGTGGGGAGGGAGGCGCGGAATGGGGAGGGGTCTTTCATCCCCGCGCCCAAGCCCCGCCGGTGCTGCTGCCACACTCCCCGCCCTCCTGCCGTCCCCGCACTCTCAGCCCGCCCCCGTCCCTGACCCCTGCCCAGCCAGCCCCACCTCCCCATCCCCTGCACCACCAGCCAAGCCCACCAGCCAGCCACCCGCCCTGCCAGCCCGCGCTGCCACCCGCGCTGCCAGCCCCACCTGCACCCCCACATAGTGCGTCAGCCTGCCGCCGGTGTCGTGTACTGGGTTGAGGGAGAGGTAGTTGATGAATGGGTCGCCATTGCGCTTGTAGTTCTGCAGGGGAGGACAGGAGGAGAGGGAGAAGCAGGAGGGGAGGTTGAGGAGGGTGCATCGGGCTGGCTTGCAGCTCTGTACTCGTTTTTCTTATTCGGGGGGACGTCCAGCAGCTTCCCGGCTGCTGGCCAGCCGCATGCCGCACCCAGCAGGGACAGCGGCAGCAGCGGCCTGGAGCCGTCAGAGGCATCCATGGCGGCAGCAGGGCCAGGGACCCGGCAGCAACGGCAGCCGGCAGCAGCGGCAGCGGCGGCAGCCGGCAGCAGCTGCAGCAGCAGCCGTGGCAGCGGTGCTAGCGGCAGCAGGCGCCTCACCATCAGCTGCACCACACAAGGCAGCCCCGCAGCGATCGACTCGCGCAGCGCCGCCACAACCTCCGGGTCGGTCCCCGCTCCGGCGGCGTTGGCGGTGGTGCCGGCCGGCGGGTTTTGCAGAAACCTATGGGCGCACAGGTGGCCAGGCGGGTTGGCGCAGGCAGGCAGCCAGGGGGGCAGGCGGGGAGTGGCAGTGAGGGAGAGCAGCGGCTTCCCAACCGCCGCGCTCTGCCTGGAGCCGCGCCCTCGGCGCGTCCGGCACGGTACTCCCCTCCCCTCCTTCTGCTGCCACTGCTGCACCCCGCTCAAGCGCCTGCCGCGCCTCGAGCGCGGCCTCCGCCGCCGCCGCCGCCTTTTTGTTCCCGGCTGTTGCAGCCGGGAACTTTGCAATCAAGCTCCTACAGGTGAATACGTGTATCTCCGCATTTGGCCACCGCCGCCGCCGCGCGCACCTGCAGTTGCGGCCCAGCACGGCGTGCCGCCCGTAGCCCGTCATGCGTGTGAAGCCCTCATTTGCATAGATGAGCGGCATGTCTGGCAGGGAGCAGTCGGCGATGACTATGCCCTCCTTCGCCGCATCCATGGCCCGCTCCTTGAGATACAGCAGCTCCAGGGCCGAGCGGCTGACTACGACGGTGTCCCCGGCGGAGGGAGGGGTGCCTGAGGACGGTGCGCGGGCCGCGGCGCAGGGCGTGCCCGCCGCCGGGGACGGCGGCTGCGCCGCGGCTGGGGCGCTTGCCGGCGCGGGGGCTGCCTGGGCCTGCTCGCTGGCAAAGGGGGACACGTCTGTGAGGGTGGCTGCGTCCAGGGAGCCCAGGCGGCAGGGGCTGAGGCGGCGCGGGGAGGAGCCGCCGCTGGAGCCGCTTCCGCCCAGCGCCCAGCTGTGCTGCAGGCGCAGGCGGGCCAGGTCGCTCTGCAGCAGCTTGGAGCGGTCCTGCTCCCGCTGCAGCGCCTGCTCCAGCTCGGCCACCCGCTCCTGGAGCGACTGCATGCGGCTCAGCTGCAAGGCATCAGGAGGGGAGGTGTTCGTGTGCGTGTGTGTGTGCATGTGTGCATGCGCATGTGTGTTTTCAAGAAGGGTGGCCCATCAGCAGGCGGACACAGGCGCCGGGGCCAGGCACATTGCAGCAGGCAGCCCAGCGGCCCATGCACTGCTCCTGTGGCGGGCGAAAAACATCCGACGGGCGGGCGGCGTGGTGCCTGCATCGTGCGCCTCCCGCGGCTGCCCCCCGCAGCAGCCTGCGGCCCAGGACCCACCTGCTGGATGCTCTCTGGCACGTACTGAAAGGTGGGCAGGGCCTGGGCGCCGCTGCCACGACTGCCCGCCAGCCTCGCTCCCGCCGGGTTGGGCGCACGAGGCGAGCCCGCCGCTTCCGCCGTCGACTTCATCCGGGACGCTTCCTCGGACCTTTCTAGCTCAGCATGTCCTTCTAGCTGCCCTCTGCGCTGCCAGGGAGTGCCAGGGGCTGGCGCTGGTGGCCGCTGCCAGGCTAACTTTGCCTATCCTGAAACTGCGGCCCTGCTCCCACCGCCCGCACTATCGTTTCAAAATTGTTGTCGGGATTCCCTGGATTGTAGACGCTGTCGTTGAAGGTCAATGCAACCCGCCGGTAATCGCGCCCGGTCTGGGAGGGCGAGGGGCTGGCTGAAAAGCAATCACGGGACTGCAGATGTGACATGCAATGAGGAGGACGCAATGTAGCTTGGTGCACGCCGCCATCATGCGGCCATGACCAAAGGCAGTGGCTGTGGGGCCCACAGCGGCCGAGCAAATTGCTGCAGCAAGTGCTCTCAGCATCGGCCCCCAAAACCATTGGGGACGGTGTAGCACGAAGGAGAAGGATGGCATGGGGGCCGCTGCACACACAGACAGGGCCCAGCCTTTGCGCCGCCGCCGCCGCCGCAGCGGCCCCTTCTCTCCTCGACGGCACGCCTTCCCTTGCTGTTTCACACTCCTTCCCCCGTGCCCAAAACAGCCCTGGGTCTCTCTTTCGCACTGTGTGTTACCAGCAAGCAGACGAGACAGTCAAGCACTCAGAGGGACGAGAGGTTGATGGGGGCAGTGAGAGACGCAAACAAACAGTGCTGGGGGAGGGACGAGCAAACGAAAGCGGAGTGGCAAACCAAGTACGCAAATGTGGGGCACATGTGCAGAGGGCGGCAACGTCGGGGGAAGCACCGCGCCGCCCACTCGCACGGCTGCGCCCTTTGGGAGGAACGAGGCGAGGGGAGAGGGGAAAGAAAAAGGGTCCCGCCCCATGTGATGGTTTTTGCACTCCAACTTGGGTCGGAATGGGGCACAAGGAACGGGGCCCAAAAGGTAGTATGGAAAAGGGGGGAAGCGAGAGGCCGGGCGGCTGCGCACTGCAAAAAAGGCTGCGGGGGCACGGGGCCGCGGCGGCGGGAGGAGAAAAAACTGCCGCGGCGCCGCGCCCCCGCAAGGCAGCCGCTCATCAGGAGAGGAGCGGCGGTGGGGAGGCCCCTCTCCCCCACGCCCGCTGCTCCCTGCCGCGGTGGGATCGCCCAAGCAAGCTGCTGAAAAGAGGGAAAGAAAGAACGCGATCAAAACATGCGCCGCGCGCGCTGGCGCGGCGGGCCAGGCGCAACAACCAAGCGCCGGCCGCCGCCGGCCGCGCCGCCGCAATGGGACGGGCGCCCCGGAGGCCAGCGCAGCGCGTCTGTGTGCCGCGACGAAATGAGGCGAGGCCGAGAAACGCCAGGCCCGCAGGCGGCAGGGAGGGGCACCCCCAGCCAAACCGCCACCCGGCTGCTTGTTCCCACACCCAACAAAGCCCCGTGGCCGCCGGGCAGCGGGCGCTCAGGCCACGCCAGCTGCCCGGCTGCTCTGCCGGGGCGCCGGCGGGCCGCTCTGCGAGGAGAGCCAGCCCCGGCGGCCAGCCAGCCAGCCCAGCCAGACCGCTCACTGCGGGGCGGCGGCGCTGGCGGCGCCTGCGGCCACCGGCACAAAGTTCTGCATGGGCTGCATGAGCGGGTAGGGCGCCATCATCATGCCGGGTGCCATCATCATGCCTGCAGCGGGAGGAAGGAAGGCAGGAGAAGCAGGTGTGAGCGTGTCAATGTGTGTGTGTGTGGATGGGGCAGGCGGCACAGGAGGGAGGCGGCTGGTAAGAGAAGTGTGGCGCGGCCAGGCGAGCCGGCAAGGACTGCAGGTTAGCGGCGCGACGCGGAGGCGGCGGCTGCGGCAGGGCACACGCCTGCCGCCGTCACCTGGGAAGGGCGAGGCCGCGGCGCCGCCCATGGGCGCGCCGCCGGGCTTGCAGCCGCCCGCCGCCACCTGGTGCTCGCCCGACTTCATCATGGCTGCCTGCTGGTACTGCTGGTACTGCTGCATCATGGCCGGGTTCATCATCGCCATCTGAGGGTGCCACATCATCATGCCGTGCCCGCCGGCCATGCCGGGCATGCCGCCCGCCGCGGCCGCGGCGGCGGCGGCCGCGGCGTCGTCGGCGGCACGCGCGGCGGCCGCCGCGGCGCCGCTGTCGACCGAGCCCTCGGGGCCAGCGGGCTCAGCAGAGGGCGGGCTGGGCTCGGCGGCCGCGGCGGCTGCTGCTGGCATGGCCATGGGCATGCCGTTCATCTGCAGGGGCGGCGGCAGGGCAGAGGGCGGGGCAGGCGGGCGAAGGAGCAGGCGGCGTCAGCGACAGGCGGCAGAAACGCGGGGCGAGAGAAAGCCCGTCTCTCTCAGGCAGCCTGCGCCCCTGGCAGCGGCGCCTATCTCGGCTGGGGCCCCGCCACACCCCTCCACACGCCACCACACATCCCCCCCACTCACACACATACCCTCCCTACACACACACACACACACCTGCATCATGGGGTTTGCGAAGAAAGCGCCCGGCGGCGCAAAGAAGGGGCCCATCTGCATGCCGCCGGCCATGGCCGCAGCCGCCTGCTTGTCGTCGCCCTGGGAGAGAGCAGCGGGGTAGAGGGAGGGGGCGCGGCGCGGGGGGTGAGCGCGCCGCGCAGCAGCCCGGGCCGCGCCGCAACCCAAGGGGTGCGCAGACAGGCAGGCAGGCGAGGGCGGCTGCCCTGGCAGGCAGGCACAAGAACGCAGGCAGGCAGGCAGGCCAGGCAGGCAGGCAGGCCAGGCGCAAGCCAGGTAGGCAGGCAGGCACAGGCAGGCAGGCGGGCAGGAGGCCTCCGCGGGGCGCACCATCTGGGTCATCCCCGCCATGCCTCCCATGAACATGGCTGGAGAGGCGCCGGCGCCGCCGCCCGCCCCCATGCCCACCATGCCCGGCGGCGGCATCATCATGTGCCCAAAGCCGGCCATGGGCATGCCAAACGGCATGGCCCCCATGGCCGCCGCCATGCCGCCGCCGCCCGCGAGCATGGCCGCCTCTGCCGCCGCCTCTGCCGCCGTCTTGAACTTCTTGGCGTCGGGGCCGGCGGCCGCGGCGGCCGCGGCGGCCGCCTTGGCCGCGCGCTTGCGCCCCGCGCGGCCGCCGCCGCCGCCGCCGCCGCCGGCGTCGTCGTCGCCGGCCGCCGCCGTCGCCACGCGGTTGGGCAGCTTGGGCGGGTCATGCGTGTCGCCGGGGCGCCAGCCGTAGATCCACTCAAAGGCGGGCTGCCTGCGGGAGAGGAAAGAGGGAGGCAGTGCTCGAGGGCGGGGAGGGGCCGAGGGGCCGAGCCCAGCAGCAGCGGCAGCCCGCGGCCGCAAAAAGAGGCGGCGGCGCGGGGCGAGGGCCGCGGCAGGGCGCGGGCCGGCAGGCGGTACAACATGCGGTACGGCAGGCGGTACCGCACCTCTTCTTCATGTAGATGCGCTCCAGCAGGCCCACAGAGCACAGGATGGAGCCAATGTCGTACAGCCGCCGCTCCACAGTGATCTGCACACACGCAGAGGGCGGCGGGGCGGCTGCTGGTTGAGTTTTGGACAAAACCGACAAGCGGAAAGTGGTGGGGCGAGGAGGGGGTGGGGCGGGCTGGATGGCTGTGTGCTGCCTTGGGGAGGCGCTGGCAAGGGAGGAGGGCAGCGGGAGGGTGCGGGCGGGGTGCCACGGCAGCCGCCTGCGCCCCGCCTGACCCCTGCCGCGGCAGCCGCCCCCTGCACAACCGCCAGCCCCGGGCGCCGGCTTGCACGCTGCCTGCCCACTGCTGTGTCTGCTGGCCCCTGCACCCTGCCGAACCGCCACACACACCCCTTGCGCGCGCCAGCTTGCCTGCGTCTGGCTGCGGTGCTTGGAAGGGTCGGCCACGCCGCCGGGGCCCACCAGCACGGCGGCGGCGGCGGTGAGCGCGATGGGCCCCCGCTGCTTCAGCAGCATGCGCACGAGGCGGCGCGACAGGACCCACAGCGAGTGGCTGTTGCCCTTGCCGCTCCCAATCTCCTCCCCGGCCTCGTTCACGATGATCAGCGTGGGGGCGCGGCGGATGCGGTCCTCCACAGGCACGCCTGTGGGGCGCCAGACGGTGGAAGAAAGCGAGGGTGGGGGCGTGGGGGCGGCAGCGCGGCCGCCGGGGGCCTGGCGGACGGCTGTTCGGCAGCCGCAGCGCAGCGCGGCGTGGCAAGGTCCCAGCAGCTGGCCGCCGAGGGCAGCCACGGCGTGGCAAGGCCTGCAGCAGCCAGGCAGCCAGGCAGCCTGCCAGCCAGCCCGCCCGCCAGCCATCCACCCAGCCAGGGCCCCCAGAGCGCCCACCCACCGTTGGTCTCGTCTTCTGCCAGCTGCTCCAGCAGGCCGGGCAGGTGGTCAAAGCCCACCCACTCATACATCAGCTTCCCCACGCGCCGCATCACCTGCAGGGGGGGGCGGCCGGGGGCGGCGGCGGCGGCTCGGGCGGCGCCACGGCAGGCGGCGCAGCAGGCGGACCAGGCTGCGCGCGGCGACACGCGGCCGTCGAACAAGTGTTCACTGCTCTGGTTTCGGGTGCTGCAAGGCTGGTTCATAAACCTTTAGGTTCAGAAACCTTCAGATTTATAAACCTTTAGGTTCATCAACCTTTCAGGCCCGTAAAGGCATCATCCTTTTCATACAGGTTATGAACAGGTTATGAAGGTTCAGGTTATGAAAACCACCAGGTTCACAACCCCCAGCGCACCTCGATCGACTCGAACACGTTGATGACGTCGTACAGGCGGCGGCGCGGCACCCCCAGCGCCTCTGCCACGTCGTTCAGCATCAGCATGTTGGCAGAGCCGTCGGCCTGCGGTGCGGGAGGCGGTGTGTGCGGGAGGCGGTGTGTGTGTGTGTGTGTGTGTGGCATGGGGAAGCGTCGGCGGCAGCCTCCAGCCCGCAGGTGTGCACTCTTCTCAAGATGCTCCAGCACCAGCGCCAGCACCGGCACCGGCACCTCCCACGCGCGAGGAAGCCGCGGCGGCCCCCCAAAGCTGAGAACGCCGGAGAACTGGCTGGCGGGCGCCAGAGCCCCGGCCGCGCCGCCCGCCAGCCAGCCAGCCGCGGGCGGCCTCGGGCCTTGCCTGCAGGTGGCCGAACTGCTGCTGGAATCGCTCGCACAGCAGCGTCAGCTCGCTCTTCTGCGGCACCACCGTGGTGGGGGTGCGCGCGCCGCCGGCTGCGGGGAGGCAAGCGGGCGTGGGGAGGCGGGGCACGGCGGTGGGCCGCCTGGGGGCGCACGCAGCTGGCAGCAGGCAGGCAGGCAGGCAGGCACGCTCCTCCAGGCCCAAGCTGCCAGCTGTGGTGCTTCCAGGCACGAGGCCCAGCTGGGTGTGCCCTATGGCCTGCAGGGACGGCCCCATGGAATGCCAGCGCTGCGCTGCGCTGTGGGAAGGCACTCACCCGCGGCCTTGGCGGTGCGCTTGCTGCCGGGCTCGAACTCGTCGTCTGAGCCAGAGCCCAGCAGCTCAGAGGCGCGGTAGGCCGGGGTGCGGCCGCGGCGGGTGGAGCGCCGCACGGCGCCGCCGCCGCGCCGACCCTTGCCGCGCGCGCGCCGCTGCTGCTCCTCCTCGCTCTCCTCCTCGCCCTCGCCCTCCTCCTCCTCCTCGTCCTCGCCGGCCGCGGCGCCGTTGGCGGCCGCCGAGGCGCCTCGCTCGAGCGCGCGGCGGCGCGCGGCGGCGGCCACGCCGCCGCCGCCGGCGCCGCCGTTGGCGCGGTCGCGCCCGCTGCTGCCCGCGGAGCCGCCGCCGTCGCTGTCGGACTTGGAGCCCATGCCTAGCAGCAGCGCGGCGGCGGTGTTGTCATCGTGCTCGTCGCCCTTGACCCCGCCGCCGGCCTTGGCGGCGCCCGCCGGGGCCCTGGGGTCGCCGCCAGCGGCGCCGCCGCCGTTGGCCGGGTGGGGCCCCGGCGCAGCCTTGCCCGCCGCCGGCTGCTCCAGCTCCTGCTGCTGCTTCTTGCCGCCGCCCGGCGCAGGCTGCTCCTGCTGGCTGTCGCTGTCCGCTTGCGGCACCGGCATCAACGCTGGCTGGGGAGGCGGCAGCAGCGGCACTGGCATGCCACGCTACCTGCGGCGCTGCAGGGGTCAAGGGCGGCGGGCCGGGGGCGAGTGAGCGAGCCGGCCGCGTGCAGCAGGCAGCCCAGAGCAGGGCGAGGGCGGGGGGCGCCGGCAGGCGGTCCCCAAGGCGCCGGCGGGGAGCGGCATGCGCCCTCCCTGGCCCCCCTGCCAGGGAGATCACCTGACGACCGGGTGCTGGGGAGGTTGATGGGGCGGGTGCGCGTTGCCGCGGCAGCAAGCCTGCAGCAGGCGGAGGCAGGCGCCAAGAGGGTGAGGTCGGGTGTCAGGGGGAGTGCCGGGCGTTGGGGGCGTCTGCCGCCCCAATGCTGGACTGCCCGCTGTCAGGTGGCCCTCCTGAGCGGGGTGGGGGCCGGTTGGGGCGCTCTGGCGCCAGGCGCAGGGCAGCTGGGCAGGGCGCCGATGCGCTGCGGCGTCATGGCGGCACAGCGTGCCTGCCCAGCGCCCCTGCCAGCGGCTCAGCGGCACTCACGGCGCCGCACCGGCGCGGGTTCACCACTGTTTGGTAGCAGGCGCGTCAATTCGAACGCAGGGGGCTCAACACGCCCTGCTCCCGGCTGCAAAAGCATCATCCTCGCTGCACTTGCCTGTCTGCGGGTGCAGCGACGGCTTCGGCGCTCCTCCGTGATCGAGCCACTGCCGAGCGCCCTTCCAGCAAGCCTCAGGCTCCTCCGCGCGTCCAGAAACAACAGAATGGTGCAATTGCAGACTAGAGAGTGGCGCTGGGCTCCTCGCCTGCCCCCCTGTAAGTTGGCGCGGAGGTCACTGCGCCCTGCCAAGAGCGCCAAGACCCAGGGAGCTCGGCGGCAAAACGTGAGCGCTGCCCTGCCTCCTCCCAGAAACTCGCCGCACCGGCGCGCAATCGCAGGGCCGCACCTGGTGGGCCGGCTTGGAGCCTGCGGCGCTGTCCAGGTTGGTCGCCGCCGCCCCCGCCACCCCGCCGGGACACGCCGCCGGCTTCCCCAGGACTACAGCGGATGCCAGTATACCCACTCCCTCCTCCCACAAGTCCTGCAGACCAGCGGGAGCCGCCTGTCGCTGGCCCAAACAGCTAGGCACGCATTGCTGCCCCCAAACTGTCCACCCCTCTTGCTGCCTGCCGCCACGATGATGCGCTCGCCGCGCCGCCACGCCAATAAGCGGCTATTACATCCCAGGCTGCAGTGCGCAACGTAAAGTGGGCAGGCGGCTGGCACGGCAGCGGATGTTGGCCAATTGCATGCATGTGTTGGCGCGGCGACACAGCCGCGCAGCCCGGCGGTGGCCCCAAGGGAAAACAGTAGCAGTCTTGAATGATATGAATCGGGGCCGGGGCGAGGCGAGGCGAGGCTCACAAGCGGCGGCCTCGGTTGCAAGCTATATCCACACGTTACGGTACTAGGTACAGGCCCGCCGCGCTATATTCCGGGGGGTGGCGATTCGTTTCACAGGCGGCACTCACTATGGCGCCCGGGGGCGCTCTGTGCACTCGGTCAGCGGGGGGCCGCCGGGGCCGCAGCCAACCAGCTGCTGAGCCCACCCCGGGCCGCCGTGCCGGGCGGCAGGCGGCTATCAGGGGGCGGGAGTGGGGTGTTGCCGCGTCACGAGGAGGGCGCCGCCTCGGCCACAAGCACCTGCGGGAGGAAGGCAGGCGCGCGCGGGGCGCAGCGCGGTCAAAAAGACCAGCGAACAGGCGAGGAGGCAGCGGCGGCGGGGAGGCAGGCAGCGGCGGGCCGCCGTCCTCACCCCCAGGCGTTGTCCCTGCCGCTCTGCTGCCCAAGCCCGCTCCCCCCTCATCTCGCGGCACACACATCCAGCCCACCCTGCGCCGCCGGCCCACCAGCCCCACCAGCCGCCCCTCCCTCCTCCCTCAGCAGCCACTCGCCCAGCAGCCTCCCCTCCCTCCCTCCCTCACCGAGCGGTTCTTGGCATCAAACTCCAGCTTGCTGGCGCAGCAGGGGCACACCACCGTGTTCTTGTCGCGGCTGCCCGCCACCGTCAGGATGTCCCCAAAGTAGGAGGACAGGTTGGGCTCGCCGCAGTTGGGGCAGTTGGCCTGCGGGGCAGCGCACGCGCGGCAGGAAGGAGCGGGGGTGCCGGGGCCGCGTCAGGGTCGTGCCGGGGGGTGCGGGCACGGTGGGGGGGAGCGGCCGGCTCGCGTGGCGGCAGCGCCCCGAGCGCGGCTGCGCTCCTGAGCATTGCCCCGCACAAACCCGCGCAGCGGCCTGCGCCCACGCGGCGGCCCTCTTCCCGCCCCGGCTCGCGGCAGCCGCACGCGACGAGCAGCGCCCCACGCAGCGCCCCACCCGCCGCCCCCGACGTGCAGCCCCAGCCCAGCGGGAGCGCGGATGAGGTGCTGAGAGCCGCCGACGACAGCAGCAGCCCACCTTGAGGATCACGGCATCCTTGAACATGAAGCTGCTGACCGCGTTGGCCAGAACATACACGGTGGGCACCACCAGGCCGCCCCACACAACGATGCCCACGGTGCCGGGCAGGTGCAGCAGGTTGGCGCCCGTCAGCAGGTCCGCGCCCAGCAGCAGGCCCGCAATCTGCGGGAAAGATGGGGGGGTGGGGGGTGGGGACACAGCAGCGGGGCAGGCAGGCAGGCAGGTGGGGGGAGGGTGAGCGATAGAAAGTGCGCAAGGCGGCGTGAAGAAAGGAAGAGGCGCGGCGCTCGGCTCCCGGGGCGCAGAACGCGGCGCCGGCCCGGCCCTGTGGGCCCGCACGCCGGCCGGCCAGCCGGCGGCAGCGTCGTCGCACCACGAGCGGCGGCGGCACGGCAAGCGCGGCCATCTTGAGCCAGTCCGCCTGCGCCTGCGCCAGCTTCTGGCCGCGCGGCGTGTCGGGCTTGCCCAGCGTGCAGGAGGGGCCCTCGCGGGGCAGCGCAAACACCGAGGCGCCGGCCAGCGAGGCCTTGAGGGCCTCGTACTGCTCGTCGCTCATGATCGGCTTGCCCTTCTTGAACGCCAGCTTGGCCTCCAGCAGCCGCTTCTCCTCCTTGCTGCAGGCAGGGGAGGGGCCGTGGAGAGGGCGGCACAGCAGGGGAGTCGGCGGGCAGGGCGAGAGGGTACCGCCGGGTGGCCTGGGCCGGGACCGGCGGCCCCAGGGAGGCGGGGCAGAGGCAGAGGAAGAACCAGCTGCCTGCTGCCTGGGATGCGGCCGCGGGCAGGCCACCGCGCTGCCGCCTGCGCTGCCCGCTGCTGCTGCGGCAGCGGCTGCTGCCCCGCCTGCTGCCCCTTCACACCGCCTCATGTGGCAGCAGCGCGCAGCAGGCGCCGCGTGCAGAGGCTTGTGCTCCGCCGGCCGGGCGGCGGCACTCACGTGAGCACCACCACCTTGCTGCCCTCCCACTGCAGCTCCTGCTTCAGGTTGTCAAACTCAGTATCAGACAGCACCGGCTTCTCGTCGTAATAGAAGGCCTGCAGGCGCAATAGAGAAAACAAGGAAATTGTTCTGAGTATCGAAGGTCGCGGCGGCGGGGAGGCGGGCAGCGCGTCGTGCGGCGGGCGAGGGGGGAGGCCGGGCGGCATGGCGAGTTGTGGTATGCTGTGTGCCGCCGCGAGGCCGTGCCGGGAGGAGCACGGCGCGGGCTGCTGCTGCCGGGACCGGGCCGCCAGCTGCCGAGAGCAGGCGCGCAAGCCCAGCACGCATGCAAGGCTGCACATGCATGCATGCAAGGCGGGGGGCGGGCGGTGGAGGCGCACCGCCATGGCCTCGAGGAACAGCTGCTCCTTCTCAGCGGTGGTGAGCTCGTGGTCGGGCCGCCTGCCATCCTTGTCCAGGCTGCAGTACTCGCCGATGTTCTCATCCACCTCTGCAGCACCCACAGGGCACGCGGGCGGTGAGGGAGGCGGGCTTGGGGCGCGACGGGAGGCCGGCAGCGGCGGGGCGCGCGTGCAGGGTGTTGGCGCGGCGGCGGCGGCGGCGCGGCGGGGGTGCAGCAGCAGCCCGGCAGGGGCGGGGAGGCGCAGCCCAGGGCTGGTTTGCAGCATGAGGATGTGCGGGTGGGGCGGGCGGGGCGGGCAGAGGCAGCAGGGCCCATCCAGGTGCGTGGGTAGGTTCTGGCGCGCCATGGGGCTCAACGGCTGCACCGACCCAGGAACCCCGCTCACCGCTTGCCGCAGGGGCGGACTTCTCAGCATAGACGCGCACAGCGCGCCTGGCGCTGCGGGGCGTCCTGGCGGGCCTGGCTGCCGCCCGAACGGCGAGCTGGGCGGTCGGCTGCAGAGTAAGCTGCATTGTGACACTGTATACACCTAAAATGGATACTGGCAGGGCCGCAGGAGCCGGGTTCTGCTGCCTCCTGCTGTGCCACGCCGATCTCCTGCTCTTCGAAATCGTGCAGGTGGATTCTCACGATTCAGGGTTGCGCCCATTGGGCAGTCAAAGCAACTGATGCCTTTCATAAACTCGGCAGCCCGCCTGCTGCTCGCCTGCCGCTCGGTCAACCATGCATGCGGCGCAATTGCATGCCGCCGCCCCCCAACCTGACTGCCTGCAGGCAGCCCCAGCCTGTGCTCTATATGGGAGCATGCACTCCATTCAGCTCAGCTCCTTCCAAGGCCTGGTGCCTGGTCAATGACAGGCCCGCATGCACGTCGCAGCTGAGCGGGCGGGGGTGCATGAATTACAGCGCTACGGGCAGGGTGGGCTTGGTGGCACGCTGAATGAGTCCAGGACAGCAGCAAGGAAAATCAAGGGGCAGAGCAGGGGCCCACATGTATGAATTGTTAAAAATAAAATTACAGAGGAACAAAATGCGCAGACGGGCATCAGAGTGGGGAGGAACAAAATGCGGTTCTTGGGGACAGCTCAGACGACGCGGGTGTTGAAGGAGCAGCAGGCGGGGCACTTGTGGTAAACAAAATGGAAGGGGGCCTCCCCCGTCTGCCCACAGTCGTTGCACAGGATGGCCTGCCGCCGGCTGGCGTACTCGGGAGGAAGCCGCTCTGCGGCAGCGGCGGCGGGGATGCAGCAGAACGGCGGGTGGGCGGGCGAGCGAGGCGCACCGCAGGAGCGCACGCGGCAGGCTCCACGCAGCGAGGTCGTGCGAGCAGGCTTTCCCCGTGCGTTTTCGAACGAATCATCTAAAGTTATAATAGCAGCCCCAGCACCACCAACCCCACTCCCCAGCAAATCAACGCACCCCCAGCAGCCCCCCCGGGGCTCACCCGCCGCCAGCAGCGAGTCTATCATCTTCCAGTACACGCTCATGTCCCCCAGGCTCTTAAAGCACACGGGGCAGGTGTAGGCGTAGCGGGTGTAGGCGGCAAAGCAGTGGGAGTGCATGAAGTGGCCGCAGGGGGACTCCTGGTGGGGGCAGCAGGCGGGCGGGGGAGGTGGGCCGAGGTTGGGGGCAGGCAGCGAACACACCAGCCCCGGCAACTGGTGCCCGGCACGCGCTCGCCGCCTTCCAGGGCTCGACCAACAGGCCCTCCCGCCTCCTCCCCTCTCTCTTTTCTCTCTCTCTCTCCCCATCTCTATCACACACACACACACACACACACACACAGGCACAGCCCCCCATACACACAGGCACACACCTTGACGGGGTGCTTGGACTCAAACAGGCGGTCGTTGCAGACGGGGCAGTTGCCGCCCAGGCTCTGCTCCACGCACCGGTGCTTGTTGAACAGCTCCAGCGACATGCAGGCGTTGCAGGCCATGCAGTGGAAGGAGTCCACGCCCAGGCCGCGCCCCTGCAGGGCAGGCGGGAGGAACAGGTGTGTGTGAAGGGGATGTGAAGAGGAGGAGCGAGGGCGCATGGTGCTGGTGGTGTGTGTGTAAGCGGCCTGCTACATAGGCGGCGGCACCCGCACAGGTGCCTCGTCAAAACCGCCAGCCCCTTTCACAGACGGATGCACACATGCGCAGCATGCCAGCACATCGCCACACCCCGCGCCGCCGTGCACGCCGCGCGCAGGTTCCGCGGCACTTTCCACGCACCCGCCCCGCCCGCCGCCACACACACCCCGCCCACCTGGCGGCAGAAGTTGCAGAAGGGGCAGTGGTAGATGGAGCGCCCCGGCTGGTCGTCAAAGAGGTGGCAGATGGCGCAGTAGTAGCGGGCCATGGAGGCGCCGCAGGCGGAGCAGGAGGCTGCGGGGGTGGGGGGCATGGGAGAGGAGGGAACAGGGTGGGTGATGCAGGGCCGGCGCAGGAGCAGGAGGCTGCGCGTGGGGGGCATGGGAGAGGGGTAGACAGGGAGGGCGACGCGAGGGACAGATGTGGGGGCCAGAAGGGGGTGCAGGAGGGAGGGAGGAGGGCACGAATGGAGGAGAGGCACACATGCAGAAGCTCGAGCCCAGCACGGCTAAGGAAGCGGTGCAGCCGGGCAGCCGCGCAGCCCCCTCCTCACCCGCCACCGGCTGCCGCGTGGCGCACTCCAGGCAGACCATCTCTGACACGGCGTAGCGATCCACCTGCGGCGGCAGAGGGGTGCGGGCAGGGCTGGGCTGGGCTGGTAAGGGCAGGGCACAGCGCAGGGCAGAGTGCAGCCGGCCAGCGCACGAGCAGCCAGGGCTGGGCTGGGCTGGGTTGCAGGGCAGACTGCACCCGGCCAGGGCATGTTGCCAGTTGCAGCAGCAGGGCGGGGGCGAGCCGGCCGCAAAGGGCCTCGACTCGACCCCACCCCTCCTGCCGCACCAGCCTGGCTGCAGTTTGCCTCGACCCGCCCCACACCCTTCCAGCCGCCGCTGCCACCGTGAGCTTGCCTGGTGGTCTGAGGCCTCATCGTGGCACAGGCGGCACACGTGCGGCGTGTCGCAGCAGGGCGCCACCAGCATGCAGCGGCGGCGGTAGTGCTTGCAGCCCAGCACGCCGCCGCCGACGTCGTGGTACCGCGGCACCGCCGGCTGGCGGCGGGACGCCGCGGGCTGCGCCGCGGCCGAGGCGGCCGCCGCGGAGGCCGCCGGCGAGCCCCCCGGTCGCGCCTGCTGCGCCTGCTGCTGCTCTGGCATGGGTGCCGCGTCGCCGCGCTGCGCCTGCTGCGCCTGCTGCGCGGCCACGGCGGCGGCGACGACGCCCGCGCCGCCCGGCGCCGCCAGCCGCATGCCATCCCTCACGCCCGCCGCCGCCAGCGCGGTGGGCGTGGCGGCGCAGCTGCTGCCGCCGCTGCCCACGCTGCCCATGCGGCGCTGCTGGGAAACGATATAATGAGAAGCCATGATGTTCTGGCGCAGGTACGCCTTGCGCTGCGGGCAGGCGGAGCGGGGCAGGCGGGCAGGCAGGTAAACCACGGGTGGCGCACACACAGGGTCAGCCACACAGGGTGAGTCGTGCGCGGCATCCTGGCGCGACCAGGCCACGCGCTGCAGGGCCGGGGGCGCCGACGAGCGGCACGCCCAACACGGCCTCTCCACACACACACACACACACACACACACACGGAATCACAACACACGCCCGCACACAGTTCCAGGTGCGCACTGTACTCGGCACTCGCCCATACACCCAGGCACAGCACCCACACGCCCCACACGCCATGCCCTGCTGCAGTCCATGCCACACACACACACACACACACCAGGGAGCACAACACACCAGGAAGCACCCCCCCTCCCCCCCACCTGCGGCTCCAGGTGCGGGTCGTTGGACACGCGCCGTATCGCCGCCTCCAGCTGCTTCTGGTTCATACGGAAAATGTCCTCCCAGCCGGGCCTGCGGGGTGGGGTGAGGGTGGGTGGTGTGTGTGGGTGGGTGGGCGGGTGGGGGGTGCTGGGGCGCTTCTGGAGACT